ACACGCCCACCCGGGCCGGCTTCTCCCCCGCGCCCGCCCCCTTCTCCAGCCGCGCCCTCGCGCTCCTTCCCGGGCGCGATTCCCACACCCCAGGGATGCCTCAGGCGCTCCCTCCCCGCCCGGGGAGCCCGCCACAAGGTTCCCTCCTGCCCTGCCGCCTCCCCCTTGCCTTTGGGTTTATCAACCCGCGTGGAGAAGCACCTTCCTTTCCTCAGCACCTGCACCGAGCCCAGGGCACCCCCGGGTGAAGAGCCACCCGGGCGTTCCCCGCAGCCTCTCGGGGTGCTGACGCCGAGACGCGTCACCTGCCGCCGGAGAGACGGCTCAGGCTGGGACAGGGCACCGAGCACCCCGAGCCACCACCGCCGGCTCCCCTCGCACCGATGAACCAGACCGTTTGTTACAGGCCTCAATTAACTTTATTCATTTGAAAAGCAAAACTCCGAACTTCTGGCTCCCATGCCCATACCTCAATTCAAGCACGAGGAATTCCACAGCCATTCACGCCACCTTCGCTAGAAAACGAGCCACGTGGATGGACCCTGCAAGGACTGTTGCTCACACAATCACACGCTGGGCACGCTCACCCACAGCAAAGCTTTCAAGTAATAGCAGCTTAACTATATAAAGCAAGTAGCAGAAGATTTTCTCTTAATCATCCCACCGAGAGGTCAAACCTGGTATGCTCAGCAGCCAAGGGGGTTTAGAATTTGGAGGTGCTGCCTCACTATCATTTCCACTGGAAGATATTACGGTATATCTAAGGCTGCCAGAGGCACATTTTTTTTTTATTCCATCCACATGCTGCCAAGATGACGTGGCTTCTCTTCCCCCTTGAACTCTGAACTTGGGCTCGTTAATGATCATCGCTTTGAGACGACCTATTTATTTCAGCCTTGGTGTTCCCCCCCCGTGCTTTTATTCACTCTATTCATTCCACATTAAGATCACAGGAAGGTTGCTGGGGCCGCTACACGGAAACAGAACCACCTTCTCAAAACTTTCTCCTCGGCTGTGTATAATTAACTCGGGCATCTTCTACAACCTTCCGTAAAACCTCTTACTAACCTGCCAGGGAGGGTATTGTATGAAAAACAAGCAAATCCCTATCCGAGGCATCAAGTCCATCGGTGGAAACGCAGCGCTAAACGTTTGGAGAGGTTTAGACAAACACAAGCCATGAACTACAGTTGCTCCTTTTATTGAAAGCCACCGCATCGTAACGACAGTCTGCGTCGTGATTTAGAGCCGTCAGAAATGCAACGCCGAGGGGTCAGTGGCTGAAAGAAGATCCCTCCCAAGCCCCACCAGCACTCCCCGCATCCTCGTGTGAGTAGGACGGCCATCAGGCTGCGCAGGACGGCCGAGTACGAAGGCTTCCATACGCAACCTAACGGCAGTTTGCGGTAGAAGATGGAGCTCACGCGTCAAACCCGCTCAGCCACCCCGACTGGAAACAAGCAGTCTAGGTCAACGGTATCAAAAAGTGCCGGAGGTTGTTTAAATAAAAGCGAGCATTAAGAATTTAAATCGATCTAACAAAATGCGTGGTGAAAACAAATAGTTTTGTGTTCCTGTCCCAGAAAAAGGCTGAAAGTCATGCAATCTTGGCTGCAATCAAAATGCTTATCTAGTGAAAGTGATAAGGTATTCTGGGTAAGCTTGAATGTCATTAAATATGATAAACATGGATGGCTGCCTCACATTATCAGTTGAGCTATCAAACAGATCTATGGAGTTGCTAGCGTTTTTCGCTGCTGGGGTAATAGATCCTCTTGTCCCCCGAGAATATTCTCCAACAAGGACTCGAGCCAAGTACATGTACTTCTTCCCGTTCACGTCTGGTTTAGAGTAGGTGTCGCTGGCAGAGTAGCTGGCATTAACAGCAAAGTACGTTCCATTCCCAAAGTTTGCAGCTGTAGGCAGGAAAACAAAACATTTGTGAGTGCTTCAGTAGCAGCAAACGCTTATCTGCCACCGTCGGAGCCCGCGAATCTCGTGGCAATTTTGCTTTTTATTTGCAACAGGGAGATTAACAAAGTATCACTTGGTATAGGAGGCAGGACTATACAGATGGCACGGCATATCAGTCCTAGCCCTTATCAGGAAAACAAGAATTGTTTGGAAATTCACATTACCGTGCATTCCAGCATAGCTCCGGTTAAATCCGTGGTTGTTAATTAAGGTTAACGACTCCCAGCTTGTCCCATGAAACAGAAGCCTCTCATTATTTGTGTTGCCATTTTTGTTATCCATTTCACGCTTTTTTATTTGGTAAGCCTTCCAAAAAAATGGGTTCTGTACCCTTTCGATCTGCAAAGTTTGAAAGCAAGACAGAAAAAACAGAGAGTAGGTTGCTGTCATGAAAAAAAAAAAAACATCAGTGTATTGACAATTCAATCTGCTTCCAAGACTCTCCTCCTGCCGGTATGCCAGGCTGAAATAAGTTGGTCAAATCACTCCCAACTTTGGCGTGAGGGACCCAGCAGAACCCAGCCCAAAACACCACGAAGGCTCCATGAGGAGCAGTATAGGGCAGTTTTGTAGGTTTCTGGGGCAGAGAGGAGAGTCCTACCCGCAAAGCGCCCCAGGCTTAAGGGAGAAAACACTGTGCTGTACTATAGCAAAAACGATGTCAAGAGAGAGCACGCTCACTGGGTGCTGAAGAAGCAACTGCTTCAGGGCTGTTCCAAATACCTCAACTGCAACATAAAACTGATGCTGACTGGGGTTAGTGACAGCCATAAAGACTCTTCCAACTTCAGAAATCCCAGTGGGATGTATTTCTCCATTGTTATTAGTATTCTTCATCACTTGCTAGCCAAGAATTTATGCACAGAAGTGATGGCATGCTTTCACCTTTTCAATTTTTAACGATGGACAGGTCCTCAGAAACCTTTCCTGCACATCTTTATACTCTCTTGTTTCTGGTTTTAGCTCCACTATTTTGAGCCGCTGGTTTTGCATGTCATCCCACGTTGCAGGGAGCACTGTTGACTCTTGGTCTGCAGAAGAAACATAATGAAATCATCTTTACCCAAATCCTCTGCTTAAAATAAAATACACCCCGTTACAAACCCTTCATAGAAGCCCGTGCATCTAACTCGTCACCAGTGCCTACTGGTATTTGTCGGCCAAGAGTATTCCATGGGGCTTTTATCAGAGGCATTACTAAGGCACTGGGAATTGCACAGTTACTTTCAAGGATGAAGTGGAGTGGACAAAAAGGTTGTTCCCATTAAGAAGTAAAATGTGCCCCTGTAAAACTAAGTCACAGCAGGACAAAGAAAAATAATACACTGGGAAAAGTCCTGTATGGTTGAGTAGGAAAGAGGCAGCTCCTCACATTGTACTGGACTGGAAGTAAAAGGGAAGAGCATACATCTCAAAACCAGACACGGGCTGTGATCTAGAATGACAACTGCTACAAACATCTGATTATTAATAAGCCTGCTACGAACCTCAGGATGCATTAACTACATTTCAAAAAATATTAAATAACCTCAGGATTCTTTTATTTTTGTTTCCCAATTCAGTTCCTTTCTACATTCTCCAGAAATGGACCTGCACAAGAATATCTTGCATATTCTTACCATTTCTTACTCTTACTAGGCTGGATGCAAGCTGGTTTTCATGTGGGAATGTCAGTCGGTCAAGATGCTTTTACTTACCTTCGGATTTATCAACACGTATAAGGGATACACAATTCCCTTGGTCATCCACAGCACGTCTACTATCTATATTCACCATGTGGTTTTTCTCATTAATGATGACTGAAATGTTTTTCTTCTTTCCCATGAAAGCATTTTCCAAGGACATGTTTGTGAGACTGTCAAAGGGCACATAGGAATCCTTTTCAAAATATTTCCACTCAATTAAGTTCTGTAAAAGTTCTGCCCTCATCTCTTCCTGCTTAGCAACTTTGACTCTGTGGATCATTTTTTGAACAGTTGAATAAGCAATCCAGACGTCTTTCTCAACACCTGAAATTCGAATACTGCCACTACCCAAACGAAGAGCAATTTTCAGTTTCTTCTGTAGGTTATGCAGTTCCTCACTCTCCGCTTCACTGAAGTGAAAGATAGACTCATCTTCGATTTCTGTTTGAAACTGTTCCTTTAAAATTGCACTTTTCAACCAGTTTTCAGCTTCTTCCACTTTCGTTTTGTTTTCACCACAAATCTGCACAACAGCCAGGTCGATTTTCTTTTCCAAAACTGCTTTGGGTTTTTCCTCTGGGGAATGTTTCTCGGAGCTCCATAATGCTACGTTGAAATACACAGATGTTGTTATTAATATGAACTATTATCAGCTCGTGCTAAACAGATTGATCTACAACCTCTACGTAAGCGACGTCTACTTACATGTTAACTTGGAAATCAATAGTTTGGCTGTTGTTTTAGCAGGACTTTGTCTCTTCTGCATGCTTTTATGGAACACGCTCAGCAGATGTGGCTGAAAGATGACTACTTTAACAGTTTTCACAGATGGAGCAGAGTTACTTTTTGCAAAGTCAGTTACTGCATCTATCATCTCCTCAGCTACTACAGTTGGATCACGGCCTGCCACACCTGAAACAGGTCATAAACATTTTAAAGAGCATTAATTAACTGTTACAAATGGTTAAAACATCTTTAAAAGAAAAGTTATCAACACACCCACAATCACTCTGACTTTAAACAGGTCAGAAATAACTTCAGGATGGCAATTAGGAAAAGTTTCTATTCATCAGAAAAAGGAGGTCCAAGACCACCTTTCCAGCAAGGGAAAAGTGGAATTTTACTTTTGTTAACGTGGCGACTGATCAGGTGATGACGTAGATGACGAAGGCTTGGTTACCTAGTAGGCTGCAGGCCTAACGTTCAACAGCCCAGCAGCCAGCTCTTTGCTCAAAAAGCACGTCTAGTTTTATTCATCCAAGAGATCCCCGTGTGCACGGGGGCCGGTTCTGGATTCTCCGACTCTAGGGATTTCTGCTGAACTAACTGACAATAACAAGAGAAGGAAAAGGGACAATCTGGCCTTTTTAACAGGCTCACATTCCATCCGTATCAACCCTTTCGTGCAGCTGCTAGCCGGAGTTGCATCATCTACTGATTTCAGGAATGGGATCATAGCTCCCTGGATGCTCTCCCATGAGTTGCCCACACATACCAGCCTGCTCCTGCTGTGACAAATATTTATGGTTCTCCAGGAAGCACAGACATACCTTTGAATCCCTGTTAGCTGCTCTTTACATACTAGCTGACTGCAAGGAGTAAAGCCTTCTAGGTCTTTGTAAGCTTCTAATAACAGTTTTAAAAAGTCTGCAGCCTCTGAATATATTTTCACCAAGGAATAATCCCCCCCAATAAATCAAACTCATTGCCTGAACCCCGAGATCAGCAGAATCACACACATTGAACCCATTTCAAAAGGGAGACACAAACCCGTTCCAATCGCTGGGAAGGCGACAGAGGTGCACTGCTGTAATTCACACTCCTGAAGCACTTGGGTGACTAGCATCTTGATGTCATCTTGGGCAACAAAATGAATTATTTTTTTGCATGGCAGGCTTCCTGCTTGGGTGGTGATATACAACTTGTTAGGTGTTGAGGCTGTAACATAAGCAGGAGCATGTAAGCAGTTAACAATTATCCAGATACAGGTGTGTACTAATCCTCCTTAGGAGTTAAGAAATGATAACAAATACACCCCAGGATAAGCTTCACGTCTCCTTCCACAAGCCACACAACCCTGTCTATTCTTACTTTCGAGGCACAAGGATTCACTTCATGTTTGGAAAAATATTTGCCTCGTCTGGCAAATAAATTTAGTGTGAGCCTTTGTCAGATTTACTCCGCAGACTTGGAGAACTTCGTGCAGGCTACTACTATACTCTGTCTTCATGCACACACGAGCATGCCATCCATCCTCAGGCTGGATCCTAGCCCCAATTACCCTCTCCACCTGTGCTACAGGGGTTTACCTCGTATCTGCTACTCGTAAATCTTTTCCATTAGTTGGTCTTCCAAGCTGACCTCCACACCAGCATTTTTCCCCACTTCCCTCAGTTAAGGGGTTTTAAACCACATACTCATCCACCCTTACTCCTCATTATTATATTTGCTGTTCACTAGCTGAATCTGGTCTGCAAATAAATGCCCCTTCTGAGGCAGGAACCCAACTTCACTACTCTTCCCTCTTGGTCACACAGAGGATGTGGTAGCAGGCTGCTGGTTCAGCCAACAGCAAACATTTTTTTCACTTGGGGATGAGAAAAGGACTTGCAGGTAGACAGTTGCTTACAGTGAGGTATGACTTCTCTATTAACATTTCTGCCAGCATCATCCCTTGCTCATAGCTCTGTTTGATGTAGACTCAATTTGCTTTTGTCATGGAAAGCTTTACTGGAATAAGAAGATGCAATAATGAATAAATTTAGTTCTTCATGTATGCTTAGAGCCTTTTCTTCTGGAAAATTCTTACTTTCCTTCCCTCATCAGATGTTTTACAAGTATCACAAGAACTGATTGAGAACTAGCTGATGTAACACAGTGCATAACACGGATGTAGAGTAGGCACTGAGAAAGTATCCCAACAGATTCCTTGCCGTGCATGAACGCCTTTCGAAAAGAAGTCAGGAATGCTGTACCGTACCTAGTTGAGCACATTCATCTTCAACTGCTTTTCCAGCACTGTTCAAGATTGCTCTAGAGACACCTTAAACAAGAAACGGCATGTGAATCCACTGTTTCTACTACTGTTAATGCCATTAAGGTCCCATCTGAGGCAGAACTAGACTATCTCAATCCTGATAACCTTCGCTGTTATAAGTGAAAAGCAATTTTAGGCTTATCCTTCTCCATTCAAAGTGATGTCTGAGGTACCTAACAAGTTTCACTCAGGCCAAAACTCCATTGAGTTTTTTTTTCCTCCTTTAGTCCCAGAGACGTTGTATAAAAAGATTCTATTAAAAAAAAAAAAAAAAAAAAACCTTCCCTTTCTACAAATGTCTTAAACATGCCATCCTGTAACACAGATTAACAAGTTTCAGGCACACCCTAATTGAACCTTTGTACCTTAAGAAGCAAAACAGAAACCACCAAACAAAAGGGTTTGAAACATTTAAAAAAAAAAAAATCAC